GACATGGATGATCAATAGATCTGGGGACAAGAAGGACGCAAATGGCCCACTAAGAACTCTAACTCAGCACTCTGGTCAGTGCGCTCAGTGGTTAGAGCAGCCGTGGGCAAACTACGGCCCGTTTGAAATGAATAAAACTAAAAAAAAAAAAGACCGTACCCTTTTATGTAATGATGTTTACTTTGAATTTATATTAGTTCACACAAACACTCCATCCATGCTTTTGTTCCGGCCCTCCGGTCCAGTTTAAGAACCCATTGTGGCCCTCGAGTCAAAAAGTTTGCCCACCCCTGGGCTAGAGTGTCAGGGCCCACACATCAAAGGGTGGAGGGTTCGATTCCCGGTTAAGGGCACGTGCCTGGGTTGCAGGTTCAATCCCTAGCCCCAGTCGGGTCAGGTATGGGAGGCAACCAATCGATGTATTTCTCTCTCGTGGATGTTTCTCGATCTCTCTGCCTCCCCCTCCTTCCCTTCTACTCTCTCTAAACATCAATGGAAAAAACATATCCTTGGGTGAGAATTAATAAAAAACAAAAACTCTGAATCACTATGTCTCCTCCAGCTGGGCTCTGCCTTCAGACTCTTACCAGGAGACTGGCACTCCTTCTTCGCTCTTCTAGTCTGTTCTCAAACGCAGCGGGCTGCAGCACTGCGGGCAACCAACCACCTGTGCGGGGGAACAGAGGGAGAGTCATGTGCTGTGGTCTCAAACCAGGGAGGCCGCACTGCTTCTGCTGCTGCTCCTCCTGCCTCCCCCTCCCCCAGGACCCTCTGGATGCGGCTGTAGCTCTGCTCCTGACAATTCTGTGTTTTGTTTTGTTTCTTTGTGGGTTTTTGTTGTTGTTTTTTTAGCAAAAGTAAAGTTTTATTACAGAAAAGCTCCCTGCTGCAGGAGGGAAGGGACCCAAGCGGGTTGCCCTGTGGGTTCATTTTTATAACAAAATTGTTTGGGATCAGCAGCTTCATCCACAGCCAGCCTTGTTCTATCAGCTTTCCGTCAGAAAACTGATTTCTCTGCAAGACTCAATCACAATAAGACACAAATGAGTTTTCCTCAAGTGCTGCACCCGGCCTCTCTGGGGGGATGTCACCCTGATGACATCTGAGAGGCAGGCTCCATAATTTTAGTTCATTTCCTACAGCCTTGTCCTAAGACCGTTAGCAAATCCCTCCCGTCCTTCTCCCCTCCATGTGAGGGATGTTTACCAGAGGACCTGTTTCCCGTTCCAGTAATTGCTTCCATGCACATCCACCGCCATCTGAAACTTAACGTTCAACCCAAACTCTCTTTCCTCGTCAAGCCTTAGAGCAGTGGTTCTCAACCTGTGCGTTGCGACCCCTTTGGGGGTCGAACGACCCTTTCACAGGGGTCACCTAAGACCATTGGAAAACACATATATAATTACATATTGTTTACAGTAGCAAAATTACAGTTATGAAGTAGCAACGAAAATAATTTTATGGTTGGGGGTCACCACAACATGAGGAACTGTATTAAAGGGTTGCGGCATTAGGAAGGTTGAGAACCACTGCCTTAGAGTTTCCTGAGTATAGATGACCCTTAGACGACCCAGGTTTGGACTGCCCAGGTCCACACATACACAGATTTTATTCTATAAATACAGTTAGCCCTTCCTATCCTGGATTCAACCAAACACAGATCAGTTGGGAGTATTTTCACACTCCCAACTGCAGATTCCCAAACACGGAAAAACTGTTTTCCATTCGTGGTTGGTTATACCTGAGGATGTGAAGGGCTGACTGTAGTTAAATTGTGGGGGAGTCAAAGTTATATGTGGATTTTTGACTGGGGGGTGTGGTGTCAGCTCCCTTAATCACCCCCATGTTGTCCAAGGGTTACCTATATTTGTGAGGACTTGAACAGGGCGTGCACAGCTGCTTTTCCCCTGCAGAGTGGGCGTTCCTGGGAAGAAAGCCACGCTACAGGAGAGCCATTACCACCTGATATCAGACCCTACAATGGAGACTCCTAACTCTGTTTAAGGCAAGGAACTGGGAGCCTGGGCTGGTAATTGTAAAAACGGGGAGGGGGGGGGGGGGAAGGCCTTTCTTTTTCTTTGCTGTGGTCTTCCACAATTTATGAGAAGCACCTGATAATCAAAGCCCAAGATTGTTAGCTCCTCTGGTTCAAACAGCCCCTCTGTTCAAACTGAGGGACAAGATAAGCTACTTTTAAGGCTACATTCTTGCATACCCCTCTTCCCTGCTATTTTTACAACTCAGAGATAATTAGTAGATAGTTCCCTTCCCCCTCCCTTCAAACAAGCCTCTTTTGAACTCTTCATAACTTTTGCTCTAAGAATGTTTTAGAGCAGTGGTTCTCAACCTTCTGGCCCTTTAAATACAGTTCCTCAACCGAAGGACTTGTATGCATGCATATAAAAAATAAATAAATAAATAAATAAATAAATAAATAAATACAGTTCCTCATGTTGTGGTGACCCCCAACCATAAAATTATTTTCGTTGCTACTTCATAACTGTAATGTTGCTACTGTTATGAATCATAATGTAAATATCTGATATGCAGGATGGTCTTAGGCGACCCTGTGAAACGGTCGTTTGACCGCCAAAGAGGTCGCGACCCACAGGTTGAGAACCGCTGTTTTAGCAGCTTTGGAAAAATACTGCTAAGACACCTCTCTAGGACATCTGCCCCTGCCCAGACTCTCTCCTGAAGAATTAACAAAGACAATCCCCTGAAGTCTGCTCAATTTCAGGCCCCAAATCCTCCTCCTTTCCTTGTCACCTATCATCAGCAGCCAAGGCTTTAAAAGGGGGAGCCACTACTGTTCTTTGCCCTTCTATTGATTAGCAATGCACCGGCCCTTTCCCTTTGGGGAAAGTAAAACAAACTTCTCTATCTCTTTTTTTAGTTGTGACTTCTTTCACAGCCCACACCACTGGCCAAAAACCCTAACAATAACCGTCATTGTTCCCAAAATAAAGCTAACACATGCTTCCCAACTTACAATCTGATTAAATATTTTTTATTGATTTTTAGAGAGAGAGGAAGAAAGGGGAAGGAAGAGGAAGCGAGAGAGAGAGAGAGAGAGAGAGAGAGAGGGAGAGAGAGAGAACCATTGATGTGAGAGCCAAACATCAATTGGCTGCCTCCTGCATGATCCCCACCTGGGATCAAGCCTGCAACCCTGGGCATCTGATGACAATCGAACTGGCAACCTTTGGGTGCAAGGGACGACGCCCAAACAACTGAGCCACATGAGCCAGGGCCTGTCTTTAAAAACAGACTTCACCTGAGACCCAGACAGCATCTCCCCCTCCCAGAGCTGGAGAGCTCCCCCTCACCTGGTTCTTGTGCATCAAATATGGAGTCGTGTTTACCTGAGTTCAGACTCTAGCTCTGCCACTACTCCACTGAGCTTGCTCCCCCGCCCACCCCCACCCCCAACCCGTTAACATAGGAAGAGCATTCACTTTAGGGGTGGTTGAAAGGAGTAAGCCAGACCATATGTAATAACATTACTGATGGGTCCTTAAAAACAGCAACGAACGCAAAATGATGGATAAAGAAACCAATTACTACAGGCTAATTGATACAAACCAGAGTTAAGTTCCTACAGCATCTCATCAACATTATAATAAAAATGTTTAATGAAACATTACTTGGTGACCTGCTATACTTCATAGGACGATAGTCACTGCCCACTAAGGGAGACCATTACATGGGTTATGGAGGGACTTTTTTGGTTTTGTTTGTTTTGGCTTTGGTCATACATTTAAATTCCCAAAGCCTCACTTTATCTCTGTATCCCTGTGCTGCTGGGTCTGCTCTCCAACAGGAACCTTAGCTCCTGGGGGCTGAGAGAGGTCACCGTTACTGTTACAACCCAGGTGGTCCATCCCAGGTAACTACGCGGATGAAGGGTCAGGTGGAACAGGGCAGAGAAAGAAAGGCTTCCGAGGAAAACAAGATAGGAATAAAAATCATTAATAAGACTTACCCTTGTCAGGCATGATGCCGAGTCATTTTTCATGAACTTTCTTTTTCACTTCTTTCTCCCAACAATCCCATTGGAACAGCCCCCTTTATAGACATGAAAACTAACACCTGGAGAGTTGGACTCATTTTCTCAACGGCGTCCAGCTAGCAAGTGGCAGAGCTGAGAGCGGAATCCAGCAGCTGACCACAGAGCCCAGGATCTCACTCTGTGGGGCTGCTGTTTCTCGGAGAAAGCAAAGCTCTTCCTCAGAAACCCCGGGGCTCCAGCCACAGGAGGGCCCTACACTAGGTAAGACCATGCTGACGCCCTTAACTGGAGCCACCTGGGGTTCCGCATCTGCACCTGGACGAGTAGGAACTGGAGTGGGTAATAAATGAGCGGGTCGTAGAGTCTCCTCAGCCTCACAATCCTTGGAGGTGGGAGGGAGCGGCTCCTGCTGTGAAAGTAAGTATGAAAAAAAAAATACAAACTAGAAGGGTAGTATCTTTCCTCTTTTTACCTGGTTCTTTAAAAATACTCCATGCTTGAAACTGGTGCTGAGCAGAGAGAGCAGCCTTAGGTTCGGGCCTGGAAGGTGGGGTTGGGGTCTCCACCAGGAATATTTGAGATACTAAACTTGGGCGAGGCCAAAGCTTTGCAAGTTCACTGTGATGGGTCCACCGCCGGTTCCTGCACCTCGGGCTGGGCTCTTCCCCTCTCTGGGCTTTAGCTTCCGTGTGTGTGTGTGTGAGTGTGTGTGTGTGTGTGTGTGTGTGTGTACGCGCAGTTGTTGGGGGTGGGTGTCAGACCTCTAAGGCTTATTCCACCTGCCTGACATGTTATGATGCTGCCTCAGATACAGGTCCTAGGAGCAGCCAGAGCATCGTGGTCTCTTGAGAGAGCCTTGAAGCTTGCCCTCACCCCTGGGACAGGGGAGAGAATGGAGATGTCTTCTCTGTCACAAGAGCGGGTGGGTCTTCTCTCCGCAGTGGCCATGGAGTGGTGGTGGCAGCTCTTGTTAGGGCTGTGGATAGTCATGCCCATCTGGGCTGGGGACAAGCAGCTCAATGTCTGCATGAAGACCAAGCACCACAAGCCGGAGCCTGGGCCAGAGGACCAGCTCTACGATGAGGTACAGAGGCCAGACCTGGTCCAGGGGTCAGGGCGGGCTGCTTCTGCCGATCAGGGAAGGGGCACAAATGCCAAGGTGATTTCTGAACCCCCATCGACCCTGACTTGTTTGGTTCCTTAGGTTAGAATTTGGGCAAAGCCCCCTGGAGGGACACTATGACCTTCTGAGACCATAATTGCTGAGTGATTGAAAGTTCCTGTCTCTGAGCTGCCTGGCCACTCAGGGAGCAGGGGCAGATGGGGATTCCAGAGGCCCATCATTGGCTCAGCATAGATTCAAATAAACATGGTCCTCCTTCTCTAGCCTTCCTACCAACAGGCCCCATGGAAACATTTGACTTAAGTGACTCCTCCCCAAGCTCCTAAAGGCAATTGACAGGGATGTGGGAGGAGGAGCAGAGCTGGCATCTTCATGGCATTTGCTGAGCCCTTTTCAGCTATGGTGCCCTCCCAGTCATGCAACCCCACATTCCCATGGGTTTCATGGGGTCCCTCTGCTGCCCCTCAGGAGCTGAGACCCTGGAAGTCATGCTTCTAGGGGACTGGGGCAGCCTCCCAGTGGCAGGGAGGTCAGTGTGCAGGTGTCCTTGGGTGTCAATATCGACAGATTGTTAGCATTCCTTCTACACAGAGGGTGCTGGCCTAAAGGATTGCACCTGCCCAGGTCCCCTTCTAGGGGACACATTTTCCTTTCTACCCTGGATTCTCATCAACCCCCTGCCTTTACCCCCTACCACCCCGAAATTCCTTTTGCTGCCTCTTCCCCTTTCAGTGCAGCCCCTGGAAGGGCAATGCCTGCTGCACGACCAACACAAGCTGGGAAGCCCACCTGGATGAGGCTGTGCTCTACAACTTCAGCCTGATTCACTGTGGACTGATGATACCCGACTGTCAGAAGCACTTCATCCAGGCCAAGTGCTTGCACCAGTGCTCCCCAAACCTGGGGCCTTGGATCCGGCAGGTGGGAAGACTGGGCTGAGGAGGCGGGAGGCACGTCTGCACAATGCCCTGTTCCCGAGAGCCTGAGTCCCAGGACACTAGCAGGAACAGCAAATGCTGTCCCCTGTGGACAAGAGCAGAGTCGGAGGCCGCTGTTGGGAAAGGGATGGAAGGAAGCTGCCTCGGGAGAATGGCTCTGTCGGGAGACGGGTCAGAGGAGAACAGTAGGATGAGGGACTATTTGAGTCCCATCTTCTGTCTGTAGGAACGGAAGCTGTGTAGCCTGGGACAAACTATTTAATCTCTTAGCCTCGTTGTTCTCAATGGTAAAATGCTCCTTAAAGACTTCACAGGAGCGCGTGTTCAGATAGTACCTGGCACAATAGTACCATTGTCGCTACTGACAGTCTTCAGATTTCAACTATCATTTCTTGTCTCTGGCTACCCATCCAGGTGGCCCCATGTGAGCAGGAAGAGCGAATTTTGGACGCACCACTCTGCCAGGAGGACTGCGTGCAGTGGTGGGCAGACTGCCGCACATCCTACACTTGCAAATCCAACTGGCTCCGCGGCTGGGACTGGAGTCGGGGTGAGTGGCGCTTCACAGAGCCTGGGAGGGGGAGGGGCGGGTGGGGGAGCAGGGCCCTGTAGGCCCCTGACCTGGGGGGCAGGTGCCAGCCTTCTATGCTCCCCCAAGGCAAGGATGGGGATGTGAGGTTGGGAACAGTGGGAGGTAAGCTGTCTCTGCCTTAATCCCTACAGGGAAGAGCCGCTGTCCTGCAAGGGCCCGCTGCCGTCCTTTCCCCTATTACTTCCCCACCCCGGCTGCCTTGTGTGAGAAGATTTGGGGCAACTCCTTCAAGGCGAGCCCTGAGCGTAGGAACAGTGGGCGGTGTCTGCAGAAGTGGTTCGAGCCCTCTCAGTGCAACCCCAACATGGCCGTGGCCCAGTTCTTTGCTAGCCCTGCCCCATCCTGGGAGCTCTCCCGCACTCTCATGGCCTTCTCTCTGTTCCTGCTATTCCTTCCCTGAGAGTCCCTACGTCTCCCTCCCACACTCCCTCGGCTATGGGCCAGGCCAGGCCCTGGCAGCCTCCTTCCTCAGTCCTGTCCTGACACAGAGCAGCACAGGTTAGGGGACTGGGGGCGGGGGGCACTGAGGCTGCAGGAGCGGGTGCCTGAGCCTTGCAGGTTAGTTCTAGACCCCTCCACTGCTCTGCTCTGCCTTCCCCTGCCTGGAAGGCAGCCAGGGGTGGGGACTGACAAGGTCACTCACCCCATCCTGCCTTAAGGCTGGTGGTGGGCCCTTCACATCCAGGGAACACCACCCTTTCCCTGGCAGAGCCAGTGGTGACAGCCTGGGCTTCCCTCCCACGATGGGGCCTCCACTAGCACAGCAGCTGAGCTTTCCTCTCTGTGACCCGCCCTGTCTGAGCTCTATGCTCAGGGAGTCACCTGCACCGAGAGGGGGCCAGTTTGCCTGCTGTGCTGAAGTAGGAGTTGGCTGTTACTTACCTAGAATGGTGACCAACTTCTTTAACGCATGCCAGGCCCTCTCATGATACCCTTCCACTGCTCTGGTGGGAGTGCTTTCAACACCCCCTTTCTTCAATAAGTGAGACACTGAACAAAAGGCCTAAAACCAGGGAGAGGATGGGACCACCCTAACCACCGGCTCTATTTTGCACACCAAGATTGAAGCAGCTGCCTCAACTGCTTTCAGCTTTCCCTCAGCACAGCCTTGACCCTTGGAAGCCTGAGTTCTGATCCAGCTTTCCTTCCTGACTTTTTGGCAAGTCCTCTGATTTTCATTTAAGGCTGTCTGGGCTTCCCTCTCTGCTGAGAGGAATGAGGTAGTTGGACCAGATGCTTTTCACTTATAAAAAGGAAATGGAAAAGCCAGTAGTGCCACTGTCTGTGGGGATATAGTCTGTGCTTCTCAGGCAGTTCCATGTCCCAGAGAACAAGACTGAAGAGTCAGAACTGGGCTAGAGCAGGTGCCCCGGGGCAGCCTTCACATCCCCTTTGTAAGTGGATTGGCAGCCGACTGCCCGCTCCGAACCTTCTGGAGCCTGAAGCCCAGTAGCTTCCCAGCATAGGTGTTGTCTTCCCCCCAACCTTCTCTCTGATGAAGAGAGGCTTCTGATGTTTCTGCACTTGAGTTAGTTGGCTTTTCTAACAATTACTCATTCTTGCCAGACACCAGCAAGCCCTGCTCATCGGTTAAACTCCACCTCCATTCCTCCCACGCTCACCTTGCACATGCTCCTTCATGGAGCAAGCCCTGTGGCAGAGGGCACTGGGGTCCTAAAACCAACAAGAGAGCGTCCTTTCCAAGTGAGTGCTCAGAGTCTGGAGGAGGGGACAGGCAGCAGTGGTGGTGACAAAGCACTTCTCCGGAAGTCTGCAAGAACGAGGGGTGGGGTCCTGGGAAGGCCTCACAAGGGGGTGAGGCTCAAGCCCCACCGAAGAAGGGTCACTTCATTGAGAACAGAAGGAAAATGTTAGACACAACCACCTGCGTTGCATCCCCAAGGCATGAATTATCTGAAGCAGAACCTTTAGCTGCTCTTAATAAACTGTGGCTTCAAAAACACATGTAGGTAAAATTTCTTAAGAACTGAGCACTGTGTGAAGTGTCTGAGGTTGTATGCTTGGTAATAAAGCTGAGAGTTTAATCACTTTCTTTAGTATTCTTGAGTATAAATATAAAAAAAAAGTAGCCTGGCTGGTGTGGGTCAGTGGTTGAGCGTCAACCTATGAACCAGGAGGTCACTGTTCAATTCCCAGTCAGGGCACATTCTGGATTGCAGGCTCGATCCCCAGTGTGGGGCATGCAGGAGGCAGCCGATCAATGATTCTCTCATCATTGATGTTTCTATCTCTCTTTCCCTCTTCCTTAATCTCTGAAATCAATAAAAATATATTTTAAAAAATAGTCAAAGGATGGTTAAAATTGAGACAAACAAGAGTAGTTCTGGGAGCCCTAGTAACTGTTACTATCTATTGATCACTTACTCTGAGCCTGGGGTTCTGCTAAGCTCCTAACATGCATTAGCTCGTAGGAGCCTCACAAAAGCCTTGAGATATACTCCTGCACGCCCATTTTCCAAATTAGGACAGAAGCATATGTAAGTCTGAAACCAAGTGAACCTGACCCCACCATCCCAGCTCATAAGGCTTACACCGAACATCCTGGTAAGTTGTTGACTGGGGCTGACACTGAATGGAGTGAAGAGAAAGATGGCTGGCTCATGGCTGGTCATGGTCAGGAAAGAGCTCGCTTCCTGTCTGCGGTTGGAAGGAGTGATGGATTTTAAGTAGTGGAATGAAACTTTCAGATTTGCAGTTAAATTATATTTTTTTAATCAGAGTGACCCATGCCCATGACTAAAATACTTATGTCAGAGGATCTCTAACACAGAGCAATAGAGCCTCAGCCAGCCAGCCCCTGGGGCCCAGCGCTCCTGCCCAGAGGCACCCATTCTTAACCAGATCTGGACTTAGCTATGCAAAACGTAGCTTGATTCATTTTCTCTCTCTCTCTCTCTCTCTCTCTCTCTCTCTCTCTCTCTCTCTCTCTCTCAGTTCTGTTAGAGTTTCTCAACTTAATCTTCCAAACTTTTTAAGGTGGGCAATCCACTTTTAATTTCCAGGAGCCTTTTTATTTTTCATTCCCTATTGTTCTTTACAGCCGGTTGTTTTCAGTTTTATGAATGTAACATCTTCTAAAATCCCACTGAAGATCTAATTCGATTTTTTTAAGCTTGTTTCTAGTCTCTGCATGAGCTGTCTCCTCCAAGGTCAATCGGTTCTGTTTATCTTGATCTCCTCCTGGGTGCTGCTGGTTTTCTTTGTATCTGGTGACCTTGGTAGTGGGTCCATATTTATGCGTGAGGACTGGGTTGATGTTCCTATTTAGCTGCTATAGGAGTCCTCCATGGTTATATATGTGGCTTCTCTCCCCTGACTAGCAAAGCTGATGAGGAGTTCTGGAGGGCTTGTTGGCTAGAAGACTTTGCTTCAGATTATGGAAATAAATGAAGACCAACCAAATGAGAACACGCAAAAGCTGTTTACCCAGAGCTTCCCTAACAAGAGAGTCAGCTACCATTACGTGTGTTTTGGCAGAGACTCAGGCAGAGGAGAGGGGAAAGCTTTTTTTGTGAGGCTGTTGGCTGGGGAAGCTGTAGGCAGGTTAACCAGAAGCGGACATCCTCTGTGACTGATTAGAGGTGCATTTTTGGCTTTCTCTAGTTGGTCCTCAGTTGGAAGCAAAGATTAAAAATTAGGACAGCTATCCATTATTAATCAAGCCTTGGCTGTTTGAGGCTAATTGTTAGCAGGGTTATTGTTTGGCTTCTTGGGCTGGTTGCTAGAGATACTGGCCTAATTTTCCTGTAAGTCTGACCTTTAGATAGCAGGCTGGCTTCCGGGGCTGATTACTGCAGATATGGGTTAGAATTATATACATCAGGCCATTGGCCACTGTATACATAGTCTCTCAAGACTGAGTCGGCAGGAGCTACATTGGAGTGCAGACCCCTTAAATGCTGGAACAAATGATTCTCTGAGGTGCCAGCACCATGCATTTAACCACATGTGAAACTCCAGCACTATCCAGAATTTAATGTTTTTAGAGAAGGCCTCTTCTGAGTTCCCCCTACCTAGGGTTTCAAGTTGGGTTGCCTGAGCTGTAGACGTGGGCAGAGGACACAGGGGCAGGCACGTGTACACGTTCTCTGTTCTCCATGCCTGCTAACTCTGAGCCTTCTTCCGAGGCAGCTGCCTCCTCCACTTCCTCTGGCCACCTCTGTTCCCTTCGGTGTGTTTTTATACACTCTCCATCTTCAAACTATTTATCTAACTCTCTTGCTCACTGGTGTTTTCCTTCATACTCTCTCTCTCTCTCTCTCTCTCTCTCTCTCTCTATATATATATATATATATATATATATATATATATATATATATATATATATATAATTGATTTTTTACAGAGAGGAAGGGAGAGGGATAGAGAGTTAGAAACATCGATGAGAGAGAAACATCGATCAGCTGCCTCCTGCACACCCCCCACTGGGGATGTGCCTGCAACCAAGGTACATGCCCTTGACCGGAATCGAACCTGGGACCTTTAAGTCCGCAGGCCAACGCTCTATCCACTGAGCCAAACCGGTTAGGGCTCCTTCACACTCTTTTAGTAAAGGAACACTTAGAAATAAATATTGTAGTGGGATCCCAGGTATTCATTCTACCTACTCTAACCAGCAGCTGCAGATTTTTAAAAAGATGTCATTGTTATTTGAAGAACAGATTGAAAGAGGGTCAAACTGGAGACACAGAGGCTGAGGACAATGTGTAGGATGAATTTGCAGGAGGGAAATGAAATAGAAATGCAGGTGATAGAAACCTAATTGTGAGAAATGCTCTAGGAGGAAGTCAGGCTGTAGGGGAGACAGACCAGAAAGGGGCAGATTTAGGAACTGTTAAGAAGACAGAGAAATTTGGACCATAGCTTTGAATACAGTGCCACAAAATACAGTAAGTCCTTATTTAATGTCATTGTTGGCTTCTTAGAAACTGTGACTTTAAGCAAACAGGTTTATAGCAAAAGGAATTTTACCCTAGGCTAATGATATAAATAAGAGTTAAGTTCCTGGGGAGACAAAAAATGGCGGAGGTTTAGACGGACGTTTTGGTGCTTTGTCCCGGAGCAGATAAGGCCAAGCAGCTGAAACGGGTAACATACAGCCCGAACAAAGAGAGGAGATTCAGCTAAGAAACAGTCTGCAGCCAGGAAAGACAGAGAACTCCTAGAAAATGGGGATGGTTAGAGATTGAGGCTGAAACCTCCCCCTGGGCGCCAGCTCAGCCGCGAGACCGCGCCATCTTGAGTAGCTGTTATCCGCATCCAGAGATCGGCTACTAACCCGGAGGCAACGGCTCTCAAGCAGCGCGACTACATGAACTCAGAGGAGACCTGCTTCCCTCCACAAAAAGGTTAGACTCCCCCCAAAGGTGCAGTTTGCAA